ACCCACTTGCACTGAACGGCTTTCTTCCTCTCAGGCAGCACCACCAGCTCCCATGTCCCATTCTCTAGCAGGCTCTGGTACTCAGCATCCCTGGAAACCAGCCACTTCTCCCTATCTGGTCCAGCTAATGCCTCCTCCATACTAGCTGGTTCCTCTGGTGCAGGGGCAAGAAAACAGTAGGCAGGCTCATCCTCCTCATCCGGGTCATAGCCATGCGGTAGAATCCGCAGTGCCTCCTCAGTCCCAAGCTGCTGCTCCGCTACCTCAGCTCCTGCAGTCAGCTTCTTAGTAGCCATACGGGTACGTCCTGGCCGGGAGACGGGTGTCTCCCATCCCTTCATAACGACACCCTTCGGCTTCTTAGTTTTCCCCTGCTGCTGCTCTCCTCCCTCGGATCCAGCAGCTCCACTAGTGCTACCGCTAGTCTCCACACCATCACCTCCACCAGCAGGTGCCTCCTGCACCTTCTCTCCATCAACACCCTCTACACTTACCTCCTCTCCCTCCTCCCACACACTAGGAGTCAGGTCCAGCTGCAAGGTGATCTGCTCCATCTGCTGGGACACCCTGGCCTCCGGCTGTTTCTCCCAGCTCCCATACATCATGCCCTCAACAAACTTCACATCCCTGCTGTCAAACAACACACCCTTGGAAGGTTCCCACAGAAGCCATCCCTTGCTCTCAGCAGCCAGCCCCAAATGCACACACCAGATTGCATTCGCCCCCAACTTACTGTGGTAGGTCTTGGGGACGTGGGCGACTGCCATGCAAGCGAACACCCTCAGCATGTCCAGCGGCGGCTTCCTCCCAAGCCACCTCTCCAACGGCACCCACGAGTCATCCCCAACCTTTGTGAGTACCGTGTTCCTAGCGACGGTAGCGTGCCGAACAGCATGGGGCCACATCAAGTTGCCCAGCCCAGATTCTATGAGCAGCGCCCTAGCTGTCTCCGGAATTGTCCGGTTCACCTGTTCTGCTACACCGTTGGACTGTGGGGTGTAAGCCGTGGTCAGCTCCCTCTAGATGCCCTGCTTCTTGAGCCAAGCCGTCATCTCAGCTCCAAGGAACTCACCACCCCGATCTGTCCTAATCCACTCCAAGTGCCTTGGTGAAAATATCAGCAGTGTTGGCCTCAGAGGCCACGTACGCAAGTCGCAACTGACCACGGTGCTGCAGCTCACGAGCAAGAAAGTAGCGGAGAGCAATGTGCTTCGTTCTGTGCTCCAGGCGCTGCTCTCGACACAAGGCCAGCATAGCCTTGTTGTCTACGTACAGCACTGGAGGAGAACGAGGCGGCTCTCCTAGGTCAGTCAGCAGGTAGGTGAGCCAGCGAAGCTCCTGTGCAGCCATGGCCCCGGCGTAGATCTCAGCCTCACAACTGGAGCCGAGAACAGAAGACGAGCGAGTAGCCCGCCACGAAACAGAGCCGGAACCAAGACTGAAGGTGTAACCCTGCGACGACCGCTGAGTAGCCTGGTCATCAGCCCAAGAAGCGTCCGCGTGCCCAGTGAGGACCACTGGACTCCGCCCTCCAAGCACTAGCCCCATGCCCGACGTACTGCACAAGTAGCGCAACACCCTCTTTGCTGCAGCCATGTGGTCTGGTCGGTGTCTCCCTGGAGCAACATAGCGTGCCAAGATGCTAAGAGGGTATGCAAGGTCAGGTCGTGTGCAGGTCATCAGGTACATGAGGCAGCCAACAAGCTCTGGGTACGGGCCACTCGACTCTACGGACTCATCCGAAGGCAGAGCTGAGAGCGAATGGCGAGTAGACAGAGGAGTGGCCTGAGGCGAGGAGTACGTGAAGCCGAAGCGCTGAAGGACCTGCTGCACCATGTGTGACTGAGTCAAGGTAATGGTGCGGCGTGCTCTGTCCCGAGTGATTTGCAAGCCAAGGTAGCTGCGCAGTTCACCCAGGTCTGTGCACGTGTGTCTCTTCCGCAGCTCGGACTTCACGTAGGCGAGTACAGCAGTGTCCGCTGTGGCAAAGACCAAGTCGTCGACGTACACGAGGATGTAGAACGGCGGCAGAGAAGTGTCGGTGTGCAGAAACAACGACGGGTCAGCAGTAGAGGGAGCAAACCCAAGAGCCGCAAGCGTAGTCCTCAGTGTGTCGTGCCACTCACGCGGTGCCTCGCGGAGACTGTAGACTGGCCGTCGGAGGCTGCACTGGGTGCCAGGAGGGAAAGTCCCAGTGAAGCCAGGTGGACGGCGCAGCCAGATCTCCTTGTGCAGGCTACCCTGCAAGAAAGCAGTGCTAAAGTTAAGAGAGTGGAGCTCGTAGTCGCGCTGAGCGGCTATGTGCAGCAGCACCCGAAGAGTGGTCATCTTCGGGGTGGGAGAGAAAGTCTGAAAGTAGTCAACTCCCTGCCGCTGACTGAAGCCACGAGACAAGTACCGCGCCTTGAAGACAGGTGGAGAGCCCGGCGGCCGCTTCACCCTGAAGATCCACATGCCACTGACGATGTTCGCCCCAGGAGGGGGAACCGCGTCAACGTAGGTGCCTGTGGACTTCCAGGAAGCCATCTCTGCATCCATAGCTGCCTGCCACTAAGAGGAGTAGGGACCCTCTACGGCCTCCGCGTAAGAGCGCGGAGTCGGGATGTCTAGTGCATCCGGGTCTCCCTCAGGGGCAAGTAGTACAGACGCGAGATGAGGTGAAGTAGCAGCCAGACACTGAAACTCCTCCTGCCTGTCCTCAAGGACGTCCGTGCCAACAGCACACTCACCCCCGACGGACGGAGGACAGACAGACGCAGACTCAGCAACAAGACTAGCAGCGTAGTCTAGACGACAGCGAGCAGCAAAGTCGACGAGCTCAGCAACAAGAGCAGACGCAGCAGTGGACTCAAAGGAGGGGTCAGTGACGACAGTAGCAAGGAGACGCGTGACTATAGGACTGGCAGCACAAAGAGAGTCCGACTCAGGGTCAGCAAGCGCAGGAAGAGAGGACTCAGGAGGAGAGGGCGAAGGGGCACGCAGAGGAACAAGGGACGGACGCAGAGACATCCGGTGCGTGCCAGGGACAGGAGGAGGACGCTGACGCGAACTACGACCACTAGTGCGAGCAGCACGAACAGGCGACGCAGGACGAGACGCAGACTCACGACGCTCAGCAAGACCTCCAGTAGGACCAGTCTAGGGAGAGGGAGAAGGTAGTGGGGAGGCCGGCGGAAACTGTGACTGCGACTGGACAGGCGGTGGACCCTCTAAGAGAAGAGGAAGACCAAGAACCTGCTGAAGGAGCAGAACGAAGTACGGCCGAGGCCGCGCGGTGGCACCAGACATAGTAGGGACAGCACCAGCACCATTAGCACCTCCGGCAGCACCAGCGCCAACAGCACCTCCAGCGGCAGGACCTCCAGCAGCGCCAGCAGCACCTGCAGCACGACCACCACCAGGACGGACAGTAGTAGTCTCAGAACCAACACCCTCAGCAGCTCCAGCTCCAGGCGGACCCGCAGGCCCAGCAGCTCCGGGACCGGCGGCACCAGCACCCTCAGCGGCCGAAGAAGCGCCAGCTTCAGCAGTACGCCTCGAGCGGCGAGCAAACCACTTACGCAGCTCCTGTGGAGAGAGTGGCTCCCGCCGAGACGAAACACCCGGAGAACCTCCAGGCCCAGCACCGCCAGACGCCACAAGGGGAGGTCCAGTGGCCGCAAGCTCCACACCTCCAGGCTCAGCAGCTCCAGACGCAGCACCCCCAGGCTCAGCACCCCCAGGCTCAGCACCCACGCGCGCAGCACCCCCAGAGTCAGTACCCCCAGGCTCAGCACCCCCAGGCTCAGAACCCCCAGAGGCAGCACCTCCAGGCTCAGCACCCCCAGGCTCAGCACCCCCAGACTCAGCACCCCCAGAGTCAGCACCCCCAGGCTCAGCACCCCCAACAGTACCTGAGTCACCAGCAACCTCGACCGGCTCGACTGCGTCTACCTGGGACACACCTGAAGGAGCAGGACCCTGAGGGGGAAGGGGGTCTACCGGGGGGGGACCTGGCACAAGGAAGTGCGGTGGCGGGGGGAGGGAAGGAGTGCGGTAGGGGAAGAGGCGGTAGAAGGGGACGGACTCGTCGAACGTGACGTCCTGGGAGGACAGAACACGACGAGATGAGGGGTGGTAGAACTGCCACCCTGGGGCGTCAGGGGGGAAGCCTAGGAAGACACAGGGAGCAGCACGAGGGGACAACTTGTCCGCAGACAAGTCGCTGACAAACGCCCGAGATCCCCAGACACGGAACGCAGACGCATCGCCGACCTTCCCCGTCCACAGCAGAGCTGGGGAGGTCTCCGGCCGGGAGACCCTGGGGTGAAGGTTGAGCTGATGCGCCGCGTACCGAACCGCAAACGGCCACAGAAAATGGGGGGCAGCCCCATGCATCATCGACGTACGAGCGTCGTCCATGACCATGCCAATGCGGCGCTCAGCAATCCCATTTTGCTGTGGAGAGTCCTGAAGCGTGAAGGTCTGGCGGATGCCTCGTGCACGACAGTAGGCTCGCAGTAGACGCAGAACTGGAAAGTCCGAGCCGAAGCTCCTCCTGAGCTGGAGACGAGCTGCGCGGATCCAGTCGATCAACACCTCAGTGACATCACCCTTAATGCGCAAGGGGAAGACTGTGGTGTAACGCGAGTAGTCGTCAACCACCAGCAAGAAGTAGCGCTCGTGACCCTGTCCACGGACGCAGGCCGGGCCCCACACGTCTATGTGAAGCGTCTGCAGAGGAGCCTCTGTCAGGGGAAACTGGGAGGAGTGAGGGGCAGCCCGGAGCCGCCCCTCGACACAGGGTACACAGGAAGGTCCTGGCCCCAAAGGAAGGGGAGGGAGAGACCGGGGGAGACCAGAGACAAGGACACGGGAAGCCATGCCCCGAAGACGAGGCAAGGAGGGGTGGCCAAGACGGTGGTGCCACAAGAGAGTCTCGTGAGACAGGAGGCGACACGAGCAGGGGGCAGACTCAGGACCAGACCTGGACGCAGTAGCAAACACCTGACCCGACGCAGCTACCTGTCCAGACGCAGGGACTGGAGGAGACTCAGTGGTCAAGGTGTAGAGACTCGACCCGGGCCGACGCGAAAACGTGGCTAGGTGTCGGCCTGTGCGGGCGTCTGAGCAGTGGGTCACCCGCTGACTCGCAGGAGTAAACTGATGAGCCCCCGCATCCTTCAGGTCAGCACCACTCACCAAGTTCGTCGAGAACGAGGGGAGGTACAGACCCGACAGGGTGCCCGAGGGGGCAGCCGGACACGAGAGGACAGTGGAGATGTGAGAGAGGACAGGACCCCCAGAGGGGTCAGCCAGGGAGACTGCAACCGGCCGACCAAGCGGCGTGAGTGTGGTGCGGTTTCGAAAGAAGGAGCGACAAGCCCCTGAGTCAAGTGTGAAGGTGAGGGAGGCCGAAGCCGACGCAGTACCTGAGAGCGCAACCTCACCAGTACCTGAGAGTGCAGACGCACTGGCACCTAGAGCAGTAGCCTCACAAGCACCTGGCGCAGCAGTACCAATGCCCGGGTCGGCGGGAAACACCGGTAACAGTCACCCTCATCGCTAATAGTCACAGCATACATGGCAGCAACGATAGCATGAAAGTCAAGATCAAAGATCGCTACGCCAGCCCTAGACAGCTCTCCCCAGCGGGGAATCTCACTAGCCTCGGGGAACTGCTGACGCCAAGCGTCAGTCAGGCGGCCAAAGCAGCGCTGGGTGGAGTGGGCACCCCCACACTGCTCACCCGCGCGGTCGGTGGAACGAAGAACGTTGGTGCACGGGCCAAGACCCCCACCACGCTGACGCTGCGTGTACCACTCACGGAGCTGCTGAGGCGGGGGGATGTCCCGAGAACGCTGCTGCTGCTGCTGCTGCTGCTGGCGCTGACCACCACCAGAGCCGCTCTGCTGCGGGGCACTACCCCGACCGGCTCCACCTCCTCCGCCACCGCCGCCTCCACCTCCGCCACCACCGCCGCCTCCGCTCCCACCGCCGCCGCCGCCACCGCCGCCGCCTCCGTTGCCGCCACCACCACCACCACCCCCACCACCACTCCCACCGCCACCCCCACTCCCTCCGCCACCACCACTGCCACCTCCACCGCCCCTGCCAGCTCCACCCGCGCCCTTGCCCCCCTTGCCCTTGCCAGGGCGGCATCTCCCGCTAGGGGCAGACGCCGCGCCGACCGACTCAAGACCAAGCAGGTCGGCAGCAGCAGCAGAGGCAACAGAGGGCAGCAGGGGGGAAGGAGAACACCCCTCAAAGATGGGGGTGCCCGGGTCACCACGAGAGGCTCCTATAGCAACTATGCTCTTCTCTGCGCTAGGAGGGCCTTCTCGAGGAGGTCGACAGTGAGGGTGGTGGGACAGACTGAGAGGAAGTGGTCCCTGACTACGCGAAGGGAGTCAGGGAGGCGAGTGACTATGTAATAGAGAGCGATGTACATGGGGGGGGGTTCCTGGCGCAGAACTCAGCAGGAAGTGCGGCGCGGTAGCGAGTGTCAGAAGTGCGGAGGTGCGTGATGAGGTCAGCAACAGTAGGAAAGGCAGCAAGGTCCAGGAAGAGGTACGGTAGCATGAGGCGGCTCAGTGCAGCAGTGGGAGGGGAAGAGTGGCGCGCAACTACAGCGTCGTACAAGGTCTGAGCACTCTTGTACTGACTAAAGTGCGCGCGCTTAGTGGTAGGCAGGTGGCGACGCACAGCAAGACGTGCAGTAGCATCGCGGGTGGCCCACTGAGAGCGAACAGTGGGGTGAGCATCAGCAGCAGGAGCAGGGGAGGCGCCAGAGGTGAGGTCAAAGAGAGAAAGACCGTCCGCCCTATCGCACTGTAAAAACAGCTGCAGGTCGTCGACCCAGACCTCAAAGTCAATGGCTCGACCCTCAGCGTCAAAAGCGAGGACACTAGGGGTAGCCATGACGACAGACTAGCAGTGCAAGCAGTGGGGGAAGGGCACGTAGTAGCAGTGGGGCTGTGCTCACCAGACAGGGCAGGTCGGGCGGCTCGTCAGTAGTGCGGCTCGGCTGCGGGGCGGCTTGGCGGTACTACGGCTCGGCGGCCCGGCGGCTCGGCGGCTGCTGCTGGGCGGCTCGGCTGCTCCGGTACCGGGCGGCGTGGCGGGCGGCTGCTCGGGCGGCTCGGCAGGAGGGGAGACCGGCGGGGCCGTGAAGGTGTGAGCGGCGGAGCCGCGACGTGAGGGCGGCGGGGCCGCGTAGGAGAAGGCGGCGGGGCCGCGTAGACACGGGCGGCGAGGCCGCGAAGGTGAGGGCGGCGGGGCCGCGTAGGTGAGGGCGGCGGGGCCGCAAAGGTGAAGGCGGCGAGGCCGCGAAGGTGAGGGCGGCGGGGCCGCGTAGGTGAGGGCGGCGGGGCCGCGACTGGAGGGCGGCGGGGCCGCGACGTAAGAGCGGCGGGGCCGCGTAGGTAAGGGCGGCGGGGCCGCGTAGGTAAGGGCGGCGGGGCCGCGTAGGTAAGGGCGGCGGGGCCGCGTAGGTAAGGGCGAGGGGGGGCCGCGTAGGTGAGGCGGCGGGGCCTCGACGTGAGGGCGGCGGGGCCGCGATGTAAGGGCGGCGGGGCCGCGACGTAAGGGCGGCGGGGCCGCGTAGGTAAGGGCGGCAGGGCCGCGTAGGTAAGGGCGGCGGGGCCGCGTAGGTAAGGGCAGCGTAACGGGCCGCTAGGGGCGACACAGAGGGTTGCTAAAAAAAAGGAACGCGCGCCTCGGGGCGCGCTTCGGTGGGCCCTAGGAACAGTCCCTAGGAGGGGACCTGCTCTGATTCCATGTGAAGAAGTGAATGCAAAATGAAATGAACTATGAATGAAGCGGGTACAAGTACTAACCATAATTGGGTTGTACCCCCTAGGGGATACCCCACTATAGCCTACACAAAAGCATAAGCTATAATGTTCTGACATTCCCCTGGTCCTGTAGCATGCAGATACAGACAAACAACATCCAACCTTCACCTAAATTGTACTATAGGTGAAGGTTGGTTTTTTTTTGTCTGTATCTGCATGCTACAGGGCCACGGGAAACCAGCGGAACCAGCATTTGGCTGGTTGGGCAAAGACAGAATAGGTTATGTTTTTAGGACCTGAACCTGGTTGTTGTTTTCCCAGGTTGGAAAAACAGAACCAGAGGTTGTTTACCAACCTACCACCTGCTGTTTTGTCCAGCCAGGTTGGTTCTGTTGCTTGGAATTATTTGGGATCATCCTTGGTTGTTCCCAGGTTTATTCCCAAGGTCCTTGCTAGCTAGAACTATTTATTCCTTCTCTGTTTGTACCTGGATATAGTGAAATTGATTCAAGCGAATTCCTCCCTTCCTGGAATTTCGTTTCTACGCGGTGCAACGGCGGAATGCTACCCGAGTCAACGCTAGTACGCTAGCACTCCAACACTAGGCAAACGCTGTCCGAGCCATAACTTCGTAATGGCAGAACTTTTCGCAAGGCAACTTGGTTCATTTTAAAGCTCTTGGAGGGAGCTTCGATATAGGAAAATCTTAGCTTAATCCGATCGACGGTCTGCACGATACGCTGCGCGACGTGCAAGGTACTCTTGCTGTTTTGCCTCAGTCCCTCTTGATCCCTCTTTCTACAAACTCGGACCCGAGGATAGGGGCTGGTCTTGTACCAGGCACCCAAGGACCCTTGGAGGTGACCCCGAGGAGAGGTTTTAAGTTTGTTAAAGTCTTAATAGCTTGAGTTTATTAGGCCCTTACACCAACACAATAGGCCAGTTGGTCCAACCGGTCCATTGGCCAAACAGGCTAGTCTGTCCAACCGGTCCATTTGCCCAATAGGTCACTCGGTCCGAGCGGTCCATTGTGTTGGGTGCAAATTCACATTGCACGACATCCTGCCGTCTGATTGTACGAGTATGCGTATGCGAATGCATTTGCGTGTGAATGGTATGTTCGTGTGTTTGTTTGCTTTCGCAATTTTCGCTTCAAACATTTGCAGGTACTCGCACAATGTGCGCTTCGGCTTAACATTGTACGCGCTATGAACAGTACAAGCAGAAAGGACGAGCTCGCAAAGGAACCCAAGATGGAAGCTTTGCGGTTCAACTTACTTGATTGCGCAGATTCAGTTCTATCCAACTCAAAATTGTACTGTTTTGTTTGGTTGACTATAGTGTAGCAGGGCAGGCACTATAGGGGTACAATTTAGGTGAAGGTTGGATGTTGTTTGTCTGTATCTGCATGCTACAGGGCCAGGGGAAACCAGCGGAACCAGCATTTGGCTGGTTGGGCAAAGACAAAACAGGTTCTGTTTTTAGGACCTGAACCTGGTTGTTGTTTTCCCAGGTTGGAAAAACAGAACCAGAGGTTGTTCACCAACCTACCACCTGCTATTTTGTCCAGCAAGGCTGGTTCTGTTGCTTGGAATTATTTGGGATGATCCCTGGTTGTTCCCAGGTTGATTCCCAAGGTCCTTGCTAGCTAGAGCTATTTATTCCTTCTCTGTTTGTACCTGAATATAGTGAAATTGATTCAAGCGAATTCCTTTCTTGCTGGAATTTCGTTTCTACGCGATGCGACGGCGGAATGCTACCCGAGTCAACGCTAGTATGCTAGCACTCCAACGCTAGGCTAACGCTGTCCGAGCCATAACTTCGTAATGGCAGAACTTTTCGCGAGGCAACTTGGCTTATTTTAAAGTTCTTAGAGTGAGCTTCGATATAGGAAATTCTCAGCTTAATCCGATCGACGGTCTGCACGATACGCTGCGCGACGTTCAAGGTACTCTTGCTGTTTTGACTAAGTCCCTCTTGATCCCTCTCTCTACAAACTCGGACCCGAGGATAGGGGCTGGTCTTGTACCAGGCACCCAAGGACCCTTGGAGGTGACCCCGAGGAGAGGTTTTAAGTTTGATAAAGTCTTAATAGCTTGAGTTTATTAGGCCCTTACACCAACAAGCTGGTATCAGAGCTGCGTTATAGTGATCCTCGATATAGGTAGCTATGGCGGGCAACACCTCGGCGGTAGCTGGTGAATCTTCAGCCCATGATCGTAGCGGCAGCCATGATTCTGGTGTTTCTGCGCCAAGGGGAGCGCGAACAAGCCAGGGCTCGCTGATCAAGGAGGTGCTGAAAAACTTCACCGTCGAGAAGTTCAATGGTGAGGGCTATGATGATTGGGCCTGGAAAATGCAACTCTATTTCCGTCAGATCGGCTTGCTGAAACTAATGATTGGGGAGGAGCCTAGACCGAGTGACCCCGCCCTTCAGGAAGATTGGGACGAGCGCGCCTCGGCTGGCTACTACTTGATGTCGCAGAGTTTGGAGCTGAACCAGCGTCACCACGTCATGCACCTGCTGCCGGAGGTTGAGTGCGGTCCGAAGGCGTGGACGGTGTTGAAGGAGCTGCACGCCCCGACCTCCGTTGTTGCAACATTGATGCTGGAGAGGGAGCTGTCCGCGTTGCGCCTAAGCGAGGGAGAGCCGGTGCAACCTGTCCTGGACAAATTGCGCGACCTCTACGCGAAGTTGGCGACCGCGGGAATCACCTACCCGGAGCAGACCAAGTGCCTGAAGATGCTCTCGCTGCTGCCGGAATCGTGGCTTCAATTCACGAGCGGATTGAGCCTGCCGCAGAACCAGAACTTGTGGACGCTCGAGTGGGTGCGGACGAAGATTCTGGAGGAGGACTTCCGTCGCCGCCAACTGAGGGGTGGAGACGACGGCAGCAGCGGCTACGGGATGCAAGGGAGCCGACGTGGCAAAGGACGTGGCTTCGGTGGTGCTGGACGCGGTGCAAAGAAAGACGACGACTCCAACGACCAACAAGGAGGTACCGGTTGGGGTCGCGGTGCGAAATCTGGACGTGGGGGCAAGTCGGGTGCTGGTGGCAAAATGAAAGAGAGTTGCTGGTATTGTGAGAAGGAAGGGCACCCCTGGTTTTTGTGCTATAAGAAACCTGATGGATGGACCCCCCAGAATCGTCACCAGGATGGCGGCGCGCGGAGGAACCAGAAAAACGGCGCCAACATGGTCGCTGATTCGTCCGACAACAACCCAAAGGGCAACGGCCGTGCGGAAAAGAAGAAGGAGCGCACCGCGGGCCAATTCTTCCATATGGGAGACAAGGGGGAGCAAGGAGACGCATCTGCTAAGGCTGGAGCAGAGCTGCACCCCCTGGACTATTGGGTGTTGGACACAGGCGCTGCTTGGACAATGACGCCGCGCAAGGACCTGCTGGACGACGTACACGCTGCACCGATTAATGAGGTGTGCTCTGCCTCTGGACACATGTTGAAGGTGGCTGGTGCGGGACGAGCTGCATTTAAGGGAGCGGATGGCAAGCCGGTGGTGCTGCACGACGTTCTCCTCGTCCCCGACCTGAAGGCCAACCTCATCTCCCTCCGTAAGCTTGGCAAGGCTGGGGTGAACACCAACACGGATGGGGCTCGCACTTATAAGGGGAAGCTGGGCAATCGGGTGCTTTGGGATCTGCACGAGAGCAAGGACGTGTACAGATCTATGTGGCAGCTGCCGGCGCTGGCGTGGCACGGTGGGGGGCAGGCTGGAGAGGGGTCTGCATCCCAGGGGGAGTGCAACGCCGTTGGAGGGGTTGGTGTGAAAGTGTCGGCCAGATCTGGGGAGACGGATTGGGCAACGGCACACCGACGCTTGGGGCATGTGGCAATGCCTTTGCTGAAGCAGCTGGAGAAGGATGGAGCCGTTAAGGGCTTGAAGCTGAACGGACAACCACCCGATGATAACTGTGAAATCTGTTTGCTCTCAAAGTTTACCCGTTTCCCCTTCCATAGTGTGGCTGGCAGGAGCAAGAAGCCGTTGGAGCTGGTCCACATGGACTTGGTGGGGCCGCTGCCGGTTCAGGGACACAAGGGGGAGCGGTACTTTCTGACCATAGTGGATGATTGGAGCAGGCTTATGTGGGCATATCCGCTGAAGCA